TGAAACGTTGTACTGATCATACTGATCGTTCAGGATTCTCTCTTATTTTTTTTAGTATTGTTGTCATGTGTATAAATCTCATTTGAGTATTATTATTATTATTATTATTATTATTATTATTATTATTATTATTATTATTATTATTATTATTATTATTATTATTATTATTATTATTATTATTATTATCATTACTTTTATTATATTTAAGCGCTAAACCCCTTAGGATCATACACTGCTTGGGGGAAATGAGTTACAATCAAATGTTACCCAATAAAGGGAAGAACAAGTTAAATTCTGTGAATGAAGAGTCCCTCACCCAGCATCAATCAATCTCTTCCAAAAATCTCTGAGTATACGACCAACACCCGACCACATTATGACTCTTAAATCTGCATATGTAAGAAAGAATGTCGGTAATTAACCAGGCTGTGATTACTTTGGGATCCTGCAGCCTGACGCGTCAGGCTATATATAAGAATATACATGTTCTTGAAACCTAGTCCTTCCTGGGCCATTGTAAAGTCTCTCGAAATCGTAACGATACGATTGTAAGTGAACCCCGGTACGGGTGGGGATTAAACTCGCGCCAGACCCATGCGTAAGCCACTTGGCCGGCTGGGTACAATAAGATTCATCCAACCAGGTATTTTATAGTGCAAAGTCATAACTTAGCACTGTTCCGAAGTGAGTTTCACCTGCCACTTTGCTGATTACATTGTCTTGTCTAAATCATTTAAAACTTACGATAATATTTTCGAATTTATTTGTCGACTTACTTTCGTGTTTCATGTAAATGGTTAATAAAACGAACAACTTGAAGATTGAGACACATGTTCAATATTTTGGAATCTTCATCGGGTAATAAAGGTTCCCAAATGTTGAACAAGTGTCTCATTTATCAACTTGTTGGGTTTCTAAACCATTTTCATTATATCTGTCAGACACAGCCACATCTTAGAATCTTGATACAGGGAATTCTTCAATTCTTGCCTAAACTATAGGTATGACCTACTTACACTAGTGGATTGTTTCCACTGTGACTCCGCCTCCTGCTGCTTCAGCACACAGCAAATGTTTTATTTTTCCCAAGACTAATGGACTGAACACATCGACTACAGACTGAGGGACTTCTTGCCTCAAACTCTTCCTTATCTTCCACTGTTCTCTGTATTCGACTGAAGAAGCAATTGGCTGGCGAAATGTTTCCGTAATAAAGATTACCACACATCGCGTAAGTGTTTCATTCCTCTACCGTCGTGTTATCACAAAAAAATTTACTCATGTCGCTTGTTTTTAATCCCCTCGGCAAAGATAATTAATGTATATTATGAACAAGAAGGTACCCAAAACTGATCCTGGTGGAACGCCCCTTGTGTTTGGCCCCCAGTCTAATTTCACACTCTCTGCTGCCTATCTGTCAGCCACGCCTCGATATGTGAAAGAACATTACCTTCAATATCATGTGATGACAGTATAAGCTACCTTCAATATCATGCGCTGACACTATCAATTAACTTCAGTATCATATGCTGACAATCCCTTGTGAGTGACTGTTGAGGACCATTAACTGAGAGCCATTAATGGTCATCAGTATTATTGTTTCTAATAAATTTTGGATTAATGAGGTCAGGTTAATGGGTTAGTAACTTGACGGATGGGATGGGCGTACAGGATGAGTTTTTGGGATGGGCGTGTAGGCATGCACCATGGGCGTGCGGGCGTACAGCGTGGGCGTGCAACATGGGCGTGGTGTCTGGCTAGCTCCACACTGAGTGTCAGAGGATCGATACTCCGGTTAGACATGTAGTCACCCCTCCCTTCTCCTTCCTTACCTCCTCCTCCTCTTCCATCACCTCCATCATCTCTTCCATCACCTCCATCATCTCTTCCATTATCTCCCTTTCGTTGATTACTTTTACCCCTTTCGTTCGTAACATATTTTTAATACCCCTTAACACACACACACAAAACACACACAAAACACACACACCCACACAAAACACACACACACACACACACACACACACACACACACACACACCACACACGCACGCACGCACGCACGCACGCACGCACACACGCACACACGCATATACAACAGGCCTAGTGTCTAATCGACATGTGCCTAGGACAAAATGGTAACTAACACATACACACACACACACACACACACACACAACGCTCTCTCTTTCTGTCTCTCTCTCCTAAAACAAGTAATATTGACTAAAAACATCAATACTGAGTGTAAAATAATCAATATTGAGTGTTAAAAATAATTAACATTAAATCAAAATCTCTAGGTAAATTGACGTCAAACATCTCGATTCAAGGTGAAGAGAAATTGCTTATGTTAATACTTGTACTGTACACGATAAGCCAGGGACAAATACACTACAAAACAGGAACGAAAACATTACAAGCCAGGAACAAGGACACCACAACCCAGCTACAAGGACAGGTAACAGACAGCAAATTAATTGCATATAAACATTTGTGAGTCTCATACCAAACACAATGTTTTATCAGGAGGAGGTAGATGGGTGTATAATAACAATACTACTACTACTACTACTACAATAGTAATAATAATAATAATAATAATAATAATAATAATAATAATAAAAATAATAATAATAATAATAATAATAATAATAATAATATAATAGTAATAATAACAATAAATAGTAGTAGTAGTAGCAGTAATAATAATAATAATAATAGTAATAATAATAATAAATAGTAGTAGTAGCAGTAATAATAATAATAATAATAATAAAAATAATAATAAAAATAATAATAATAATAATAAAATAATTAATAAATAATAATAATAAATAATAATAATAATAATAATTTAAAAATAATAATAATAATAATAATATAATAGTAATAATAACAATAAATAGTAGTAGTAGTAGTAGTAATAATAACAATAATAAAAATAATAATAAGAATAATACATATACCGAGTCTAGGGTAGACACACTCAATGTTTCACTAGCACCTGACGTCACACAGCTGTGATATAATACACTGGAGACCTTGAAAGACCATGAACGTTTCGCCCTGCGTAAACCATTATGGATAGTGCTTTACGCAGCGCGAAACGTTGTCATAATTTACTTCGCTTACTCCCCAACCTTAGTTTATATAATTTTTTTTGCTCTAAAGCATCTGAAAATAAATTTGAACATTACTAGGATCCAGAGTACTTAAATAAAATTAGGCTAACCTTAAATAGGCTAAGTAATGTTGCCTCACATCGTTATCATATTCAATTTAAACAACCTAAGTTAATTTTATTGCAAAATATTAATTTTTCATTCCTTGTTTAGTGTCGAGAAGTCATACCTAGTCCAAAAATCAGGTCTATCTATTTTTTTTCTTGACTATTTTCAAGAAGAAAATGAGAAAATGTAGATAATAATTCGTAGAATAGACAGGGTCACTTGATGTGAAGAGGCAGGCAAGGTCAGGTCGCTGGGAAATGAGAGCCTAGGTCAGGTCAAGTCACGTTTGTTCTCAAAACTGAACAGGACATGTCACGTTTGTTCTCAAAACTGAACAGGACATGTCACGTTTGTTCTCAAAACTGAACAGGACATGTCACGTTTGTTCTCAAAACTGAACAGGACATGTCACGTTTGTTCTCAAAACAGAACAGGACAAGTCACATTTGTTCTCAAAACAGAACAGGACAAGTCACGTTTGTTCTCAAAATAGAACGGGGCAAGTCTCTCAGCTCAGTGCCTGATCAGGAGGGCTGTGGGGCTTACGCTGGACTTGTGGGGCTACCTAGCACCAACAGACTGGTTAATCGGGACATCCACCAAGGGAGGCCTGGTCTGGGACGGGGCCGCGAAGGCGATCATCCTCGGAACACCCAACATACAGCAGTTTTCAACAGAGTACTGGGAGAAGCAAACATACGCGGAAACAAAGCCTGACTTAAGATTCATTTAAGGAATTTTGTGCCTAAGAACAAACAACAGCACTTATATCTCACCCAACCATTGATTCGTATGTAAAAAAATAAAATCTTAGTTTTTAACCATTCAATAAGAAGGCTATTGAATGAATAATGGTGAATGTGTGTTATTTATCAGGTCACCTCTGCTTGGCAGGTGGCAGCCATTGGACTAAACAAATATTAAATGTTACTTGAACAAACCCATATGGGTTGTGGAAAATACTGTATATATTTTCCAGAAATACAGTAGTTACATGTAAATAGATGGCCATACTGTATTTAATAATATTTATGTCCTAGAAAACGGAAAGCCTGCGTCTGCGCAGGAGTCGCCATTGTTATTTTGAATTGGATACAACGTTAGTGTAATGGGAATAATTTTTCGTGCTCTAGAGGTTAAAATTGGGTTGACACCTCTCAAATAGGAGGCGAAATTGTTGGATGTGCATTCCTGCATAACTTGAGATATCAGGCGACTGGACAAGACAGCTCCAGGAACCTCAGATAAGTCTTATGTTATAACTTTGGCCAGTTGTTATTTTCATGTATAGACAGAGGTTTTCTGAGTATGATACACCTTGATTTTCAGTCAAATTGGTGAGTGATATTAAGATATTTTCCTTCTTTTATGTAAATGTGTTTATATATAATCATTTTTTAATTTAATATACAGTCCACAAATTTATATATTTACCAGCATTCCTGGTGATGTATATTTCATTAGTAATTAGTAGGTCCAGAGCAACTTGTGGATATGACAGTGGTAGGTATCGAAGGGGGGCATTTTTTGCGACCTAGGTGTCCCAAATTCCTACTTGTCTAACTGATAAATAATAATTATCTTTGTTCATTTACTCTTATGTATATAATGATACATTCAGATAAATGCAATTTTCCACATGGGTACCAGGATATACACAATTTTCGAATCCTGGTTTGATTTTATAATGAAGAAATACCCTGTTCGGGTATAAACTGAGGAAATATAGCGGTAGATGGTAGTGAAACAAGAACGACAACGACCACCTACCCTCTCTCCGTCGTCGTCATCTTCCTCAGGGTCGTAGGCTTCTGCGAACACTGATTTACGTCTGGTGAAGCGACTCAGAGGAGGCTCTGTAAACAAGAATTGTAAGTGTAAATAAAAAGGCATTTACAAGCTCAATAGACTTACAAATATGTAACATACAAATACAGTGAAGTTATAAAAATCATATTATTATTATTATTATTATTGGGAATCATGAGTTTTTGCAATAGAATTGTAGATAAGTGGAACAAACTCTCGGGTAGCTTCATTTGACTTGTTATAATTATAGGTTGGACGTGTATATTAGTGGATATAATTGGGCTTGAGTTAGACCAGCCTAGCATGGACCACTAGGACCAATGCTAATTCATTACTTATTTGCTGATTGACAAACATCACGGATACACACACAAGACAAGGCAGAAAAAATTCATTTTGAAATAATTTCAAGTAGATATTTTTCTGTTTTATTCTGGCATATTAAGCATAAGCGATAAGTTGAATATATCCAGAAAGGAGCATGTTAAAATTGCTTCCTCGTAACGGGATGGTTATCATCAACTAAATTTAAAATTTGGGTTTGAATTGCTAATTTCGAGGCAGAAGCTGTTAATTCTTCTGTCCGAGTGAGCATTTATGAACTATCTGAGTAAGCATTTATGAACTAACTGTCTGAGTAAGCATTTATGAACTAACTGCCTGAGTAAGCATTTATGAACTAACTGTCTGAGTAATCATTTATGAACTGAGTGAGCATTTATGAACTAACTGTCTGAGTGAGCATTTATGAACTAACCGTCTGAGTGAGCATTTATGAACTAACTTGCTGAGTGAGCATTTATGAACTAATTGTCTGAGTGAGCATTTATGAACTGTCTGAGTGAGCATTTATGAACTAACTACCAGCAGTAAACAGTATAGCAAGGTTAAATTAACTCTGTCATAAACTGGAATGTTGAATTGCTAGAGACAGCTAATTTGAGTTAATAAGGGATGTATTGGTGGGATCAGCAGTGTGTGAACTGGTACTGGGATGATGTGGCTAGATTTAAGGCCTATCTACTACAACACGAAAGTCATTAAGGCTACATATTACCTGTACACCACCAGTCTAGGATACTTGAATATAGGGGTCAAAATAAACTCCCAGAGTATATACGCGGAGAAACACAACTGTGTATATACACAGATACACACGTCTCAGAGTATATACACTGAGTATATACCTCTATGAAGATACAATGAGATACATACCTGTGTGAATATACACAGATCCACATGTCTCAGTGTAGATACTCTTAAGATGCACACTTTCTGTGTATATACAATGTAGCTGTTAAGACCTATTTTATGTCTAAATTTCTACCAACAGGGCAATATTTCTAGCATTTTTTTCATGTAATCTGTGTATATCAAAACATGTCCATTCTATAAACTTTTAAATAAAACAAACAGTCGTTTTAGCTATGATCTGACTTCACCAGTGACAATGTAGAAAAAAAATAAAACAAAAAAACACAAAAATCATAAGTTCCGATGCAGTTGTGGAAGATATTACAAAATTCAAGAAAATCATGTTACAATTAACCAAAAATCCATACACATAATTCCTTGGAAAATCCTGCAATGCCAACTGTAATCCGCAATAGCATTAATATACTCATTTGAGTGTAACTATCCATAAGGAAAATCCCTAAAAAAATAAGAAAAATCTTAAAAAAAAAAAAATCAGGAAAATTTTGGGGAAATCTGGAAAATACTCTAAGAGTGAGTTAAAAGTTTCGTATAAATTGCTAAAATCTTTCATTAAGTAGCAAAATGTTTAACAATATATACTTCAAAGTCAGGGAAATCCTTTCAGGCCAAAAAAAAAAAAAATACAAAATATTTATCGGTAAGAAGTCTTTTACTAACAAAAACAAAATTATTATAATCATGGGGAGCGCTAAACCCATAGGAATTATACAGCGCTTGTAGATGGAAAGTATTCAGGCTTAATTCAGGGAACTGGTTCACAAGATCCAGTTCCCTAGATCAAGAGCCCCTCACCAGCATCAAAGAACTTCCCTTGAGGAAGAGACATACAAGAATATATATATATATATAGGTTCTCTACACATGCTATTTATGATAATCTGTGTAACTGTATTTGTGTATACCTGAATAAACTTAATATTAAAACTATGATAATCTTGACATACATTCAAGAAAAAACAGTAAAAGATTACAGAAACTCACATAAAAAATTACCAAAAGATTAGTGAAAATGTTGCAAGAAAATCGCCAATAGAATGAGGAGAATTTCTTTTAAAATCGCTGACAATTTCCAGACAATCTCACAAAAACTCCAAAGAAAAGGATTACAAGAATCCTACACGATAAATCCTTAAAGTAGAAACAAAAAAATAACCAGTAAGAAACACCCTATATGTAGGATACAGCAAAATGCTGCATGTAGACTGCCTCACCTGTGTAGTCCCGAATTGGACAACACGTAACGGGCATAGCTGTGACGATATCCATGTAGCACAGAGCTATGGAGTACATCTGTGTGGCAGAGAGGTGGTGTGCGACAGGCAGGTATTCACTTGTGCGCCTCTGTAATGGCACTCAGGGTCTCCTGATGGGCAGATACTAGGTGTGACGATACTGTCACTTGGTGTGTGGAAGATTTTAGGGAGCCTCTGACGCCTTTTAAGGTCCTCTGATGACGTTAAAGTCCCCTGATGACCTTTAAGGTTCCTCTGATGATTTTTAAGGTCCCCTGATGACTTTTATGGGTCCTCTGATTACTTTCTTATTAAGAAGTCTGTGATGGGGTCTTCGGGATTACTCTCAGTGTGGTATAAAATAACTTGTACGGCTGTTTGATGGGTTTTTAGGAGCAGGTGATGGTCATTAGGTAAGCCAGAGACGGCTTTTAGGTAGGCCTGTAATGGCTTTTAGGTAGGCCTGTGATGGCTTTTAATTATGAGTCTGTGACAGGCTTTACTGTACCGATGACTGTTGTAGGTTTGTCAGGGCTGATATTACTGGCGACAATGGTTTTCTTGGGAGTGTGATGGTTTTATGAGTACAGTGGTGCGTTTTAACAATGTGGTGGTGGGTTTTAAGAATGCAGTGGTGGGTTTTAAATGTAGTGGTAGGTTTTAATTAAGTGTAGCGATGGTGGTGGAATTTACAGTGTAGTGGTGGATTTTGCTGTTATGTCACTCTTTTTAAACCGTAATGGATATCGTTATGGATACAACACTTCCTTCTAGACTTGATTCTTGAAGCTTGCGACGGTAATTAAAGCTGCTTAATAGCTGTTAACGATGTGTTAAGCGTATTAAGGACTTTACAAGCTTCCTCAACTACAAGAAATATTTACAGAAGTCACTTTTTAGATGAGTTTGTGACCTGGTCTAGTCTACACAAAATAATTTAAGATCGTCTCTTCGTATATATTCGTTACCTCACTGATTTGTGGCATATTTTAGTATTTATGTGTATAGCCTAGTATACTAATATGTATTATGGAGATTAGAAAGGCTTTTGTCTTTTTTTTTCAAAGGCTAATTGTATAATTTTCATTTTTGTAAGACGGGAAAAACACTGGCTGGGAAAATCAATTTCCTTCTTGGCACTTATAATACTTCAAAAATATTGAATTTCGGGAAAAGTCGAGGAAAATTAGGTTGATCACACGTTTCCCCCGAGAAGGAACCTCCAGGTATAATTCACGAAATTAAGTTTATGCGACGCACTTGTCACGTAGTTGAGGGGAGAGTGAGAGTAGATTAATTGAAATGGATGTGGAGTGTCGGGCAGCAACACCCCAACGGTGAGAGTGTCGGTGGTGCACTGAGGGACGCTGCCGCTGCCAGCTGTATTTCATTGCAAGGATCAGCTGGACGTCCCTTGCTGCCAGACACATGATAACTACTCCATGTTAACACATGATAACTCTGGCAGAGCCGGAGTTATCATGGGGGTATATTGGTGTGTCTAGAGTCCATCTCGTCCCCAACAACCTTACCAAACCACCCATGACATCATCTCCCTCGCAAACATTGTAATCTCCTTTCCAAGCAACAAACATGGGCGTGAATTGATAATAAACGTCTAGGAATTCCACTCTTATGTCTGCGACTCCAGGGCACCAAGGAGGTGAAGGAAAGATAACCTCTATGAGCGTGTTACATGAAGGTTATTTTTCTTTACTACTTTGTATTTTGGCGGTGCCTAGCCTTAAAACAGGTTGTAGACATGACAGGTGTTGTGTCTACTGCTCTATCCCATTCTTGGATCAAACCAGATTCCATCACAAGATTGCTAGCCCGCTGATCTAACAAAAGTGCCTTAGGAGGGACCAGGAGCTAGAATATCAGTGTGTAGTGGTCGCAGTTTGTGGCTAGCACAAGCCTTCCTACAGTCTTCAAATTATGTCATCGTATTGATAAAGCCACTGGAGGGTGAAACGTCTACAAATAAAGATACCCAGATGTTGCATGTTTAATTCTTCATCTTACGTCTATATAAGGGTCTACATATATTACTACTACTACTACTACTACTGCTACTACTACTACTACTACTACTACTACTACTACTACTGCTACTACTACTACTACTACTGCTACTACTACTACTACTACTACTACTACTACTACTACTACTACTACTACTACTACTAACTACTACTACTACTACTACTACTATACTACTACTACTACTACTACACTACTACTACTACTACTACTACTACTACTACTACTACTACTACTATTTACTACTACTACTACTACTACTACTACTACTACTACTACTACCTTCACTAGTATTACAACTACTACACCTCACTCTAAGCCTATATATACCCTCTGTGTCCATGTATTGTTTGTAACAGCTTAACAAAGTTCCTGGAGAGCGAAACGTTGCCACAATAAAATGTCACATGAGTTGCACTTGTGTCCTTTTACCCAACATGTTGTGGGTAATTCCACCAACATTAACCAAGACAGGACTCGTGACCATGGGGTCAAACCGGACAAATTTACGTTTAGAAAGGGCATAGGAAAGCACTGGTTTAGCAATAGAGTTG